GGACACAAAAAAACAACCGACTTGTACTTTAAATTCACACTGTAGTTTTAATTATAAAACAAATTTGTTTGACCTTGTAGGGTATTATTACCCTAAAAGGCCAGAATTTATTTATTCAGGAGTAATGTATGGGCAATATTTCAATCACATGTGGATAAACACTACTGTGACGGTGTGTGATGGTAGTAAACGGATCAAGGTTAGGTTAGGTCAAGCAATATTTCATCATAGGTAATAAAAACACGGATAGGACATTTCCAATTGATGCCACTGCGTTTTTGCAGTCCTGAACTGATAAGAAACTGAGGCCGTTTGTTCACAGTATTGCATATTATTATCTTATTAAGATTATAAATAAAATTCGGCAGTGATTTTTTAGCATAATATTTTCAACGCAAATACGCTGTTCACATTGTCAGTTGCTGGTTTTTTTTTTCTTCACATTGATTTATTTTTAACGGCACAAAAACGGCAACAGCGGTAAATCGATGATTTTAATTACCGTTGTAGGCAACACGGCCATAATTAAAAGTCATTTTCTGCGGGCGTTTGGAAATAACAATTAGCCGACCCGTCGGTTGCATAAAATAGTTTTATTTGTACAAGCGATTTTACGGTTTTTTTTTTGTTGTTTTCTTCGTCAAACACGAATCAGATTAATCCCCGACGGATTAAAAAAAAAAACAAATATAATGAAATTAATTGCCGTCGGTAGAACGCAAATGATCAAATGGTGTCTATATAAATTAGTGTACATGTCGACACCGAGTGTTTAATTGACACGGGACACGGCACGTTCACATTGTTTTTCCATCGTCGGTCGTCATAGTAAAATAATTATAATATTGTATAATAATCATTCATAGCGACAACAGCAAAAATACCACGTTATGGGCTGTGGATTTTTATCAAATAAAAATAGAAAATAAAATAACCCATAAAAAGATGGGCTATTAAGAAAATGTCCACCACTAGCCTCGTAGGTTGCCATATTATGACTACTGACCAGTTACTGATTTTTTCCAGTTGATTTATCAAATATATAATATGACAAGTGTTATCACCACTAAACCTTAACATTTTTACTTTCCATGAAATTATACACAACATGGTTGCATCCTCGTAGGTCTGGACAAATTTCTATCCGTGAGCGGATTTCATATATCTTCTATTTATCTTTGGGAATTGTATTAATTCATAGTATTATTATAAAATTATAAATTAATGTATACACACCGCATCAAACGCGTTTCTGTGAGCCGCCCAGTTATTTTTTTTCAGTCACGCGATTAAATTACTTAAAAAAAATCATAATCGAAAACGCGGCGTTATTAGTCATAGCTTTTAATAAAATTATAGATATCAGATAATAATAATTGGCCAGCACAAAAGTATCATGATATCTACACCCTTTTATATCGTTTAAAGCAAGTCATTGCCGTTTGTTTTGTGGGGTGCCCATCCTCTGACAGACACTATTGTTCTAATGCCGTTAGCCCGTTTTACGGATCTATTAAATATATTACACGGTTGTTGTGCGCGCTTTTAGCTAATAATATTATAATAGAGTTACCTCGCTGTTGTTGCCTGAAGGGGTTTTCAAAATCCATACATCATTTTACTGTTTTTGCTAATAACTATTTTACACAACTATTAATTTCCACGGCGAGCAGCCAATATGGCTGTTGTTGTCGGTCGGTCCAATCCCATTACGGTAATTAAATGCAAGATTTCCGGTTAAACAATAAAGCAAAAGCCACAAGAAAATCTTTGATTAATCGAATGTGTACAAATAATATTATTGTGCACGAGTGGAAAGCTTTTAGACCTGTACAATGCTTTCACGAAGAGTATTCTACTTGGTTGTATCTTATAATACAGCAATAACAATTCAAGAAAACACTGGTTTTTATCTAATATTTACCAATAAACCAAACCAGTTAACAGTTCGACTCCCACCCCTGTGCTAAGTACCAAACCTAACTCGATATGATATTATGCATAAAGGACATTTTACTACACTATTGAATACATAATTTTTTACCGTGCTCTAGGCTATCTTAGCATTGAACAAGACGTCGTTATCCTTGTTTTTAACTATACAATCTATTCAAAACGACAAGAAGTTGTTTATAAAAAAAGTTAAGACAGATTTTAACTATAAAAATCAAGACTACGTTTTGTTTGTGCACAATGTGAAAACCATTTGTTTTCTTATTGTATTTAGGCACGTTTATACCGTATAATAATATTATGTATCTGTTTAGCTTAGAGTTTGTAATCGAATTCATTGTGTTTGAGGTTTGTCCAAACACATTTTTTTTTTTTTGCCATAAAAGTCCTTGCTCGTGTCCCTCTTATCTTGTGGTGGTCCTCGAGAATACTCTCTTCCGAGCCATACCGGGACGAGACACCGATTGGTTTCGGTACAGATTTTTTTTGTTCCAGGCTTACCAACACACGTTTACTGAGGGTCTTCGGATATCGATTTAAAGAATTCCTTCACAATTCCGATCTCCGTTTTTTACCGATTCGGCCAATTATTTTTTTAAAATTACTTTTTTTTTCCATACCCCGTGTGGTCGACGGAGGAACAGTAGTGTTTTTTTCTACCTTTGTGCAAGATTAGTCGAGCTCGGCGATGAGTAACCGCTCCTCGTGTATACATAATTAACGCCTGACAATCGTCGACACTACCGGCCGGTTCACAGAACCGTGACCGCCCCTCGCACCCGGCTCGTATCATCTTCACGGTGCACTCGGTCCGGATGTTTTTGACAATAATAATACAGCCGAAAAAGCCGGTACAGTGATAAAATCACTTTCAAATAACGCTTGGTCGATGCCAACCTATGGGTAGTAAGGATCCAGCAGAGAAATGAGGTCCAGTGTGCACAGACTCCTCACTTTCAGTGCGCTAATAATTCCTGTGTATACTTTTTCACTCTTAATAACTCTTATCCATCTCAAAGTACCGACTAGATAAAAATTGTGATCTACAGAGTTGAAGCAATTGGTCCAGCGGTTCAAAAGTTATTGTGCGTACAGACACAAAAAAAAATGAATAAATAAATGGTTTAATGGTCTTAAACTGATACCACACTTTACACCATGTGCTTAGTACTACATGCGATTTTTCCTATCTTTTCTTTCATTGTTCTATTCTCTCTTCTGTCAGAAAAATGCTTTTTAAATTTCTCTCCTTTATGAGTATTAACAAACCCAACCTATCATACCATATCCTCAACTCCCGTTCTGTTCCCATCGCAACACCCATCATTGCATTTACATTAGGCGCTGGATTTTCTATTTAATTAACATTATTAATTATAAGTGATAATTATACATATTATGCTTGTTGTATTTATTCATATTTTAAGTCGATTCAAACGTAATACTCTATGAACTACAGATGAGTCATAACAGTGTTAAATAAAAAAAAAACATCCTACACGCGAATGATGACTTACCTAATAATAATAATAATAATAAAAAACCGTATTTATAAATACATTATGACAAAATTGTTCCACTCTACTTGAAGGCGTCAGACGATATTCGAAGGTCCAGTTTTCGAGTATCGAATGTCACACTATACGTTTGTATAGTACCTACATATTTTAATGTTATAGTGATATATGTAATATTATTATTATTACCGTATCGAATATAGTTGTTATGACCATCGTCGGATTGATCGACGGCATTGAGAGCATAACCTTGCCGGACTGAGTTTACCCGTAATACACTAGTGAAAATAGTGTTTTTCTTTCTATAAAATCTGTTTGAGACGTTCCCTCGTTAGACGGCAACTACTGTCGGTACCCTCTTAAGCATAAAAAACCTTCTAGACTCTTAGAGCCTCTCCGGAGTGTTCGGTATAATACTATACCCAATATAGTACATAATCGGAGTGTAAATATATGAAAAAAAATAGTGCTACCAACGTCATAATTGAAAAAATACTGTAGAAATTAAAAAACCAACGTCCATTATGGGGGACACCCTTTGCTATCGAAAACGGTTGAAAGTCAATTGTTTGTTTTACAGCCTAACCGTTTGCCTTAGATCAAAGTGTCCAATCATTACGGTTCGTCGAATAATTGATTTTAATTGATCAGCCAGCGGTGGACCTTACCCATACAATCTTATTGTGTACGGTTAAACATCCCAATGATGATAATAATAATAATTATATAGCGAACACTGTGTCGTCTTCGGAACCATGAATTTCAGCTACATTTATAACTATACAGAGTCATTTGATCGTGAACCACTAAATATGTCAACGGGTTTAATAAGAAATTTGATTTTTTCCCCATAGTGTTTACAATTAATACTATACTCCGCCTTTCCTCCTGCTCTAAACTTAAAACTTCAATAACTTCAAAAATAGTTATCCAAAACTGGTTATGGATCTGTCAAAATTTTTAGTACATTATACACAATTTAAACTATTTTTTTCACGCTAGCGCTATTCGTGTGTTGTTTGTATTTATTTTTTGGTAATTTATCTTTCCTCGAGCCAAAATCAAAAGAGTTTTCAAAAAATATAATCGTATGTTAGGTAGTGTTGGACATTTTTATAAGGCCTAAATTAGCTAAGGGTATGACCAAACCGGATTAAACTACATAAAAAACAAACTAATCAACACTCGTATCTGCAATGGTTTTTTAGTGTTACCAATGATTTCGATGACTCAACGGTTAATCGGTATTTCTGGCGAAAAAACAAATGATGAGTACTGACTGATTTAGAGTATATGCGTTTCGAGACAAGTGAATTAATTAGGCCAAGATAAATCATCACAGAGTGTTCTCGGTACCCGCAGCTGAGTGTATTATTTTTGTGCAAGCTCTTAAGTATGAATTGTAAGAGTCATAGCACGTACATACTAAAATCAGTTCATTCATACACTTTATTAATTCAATTTTCGATCAATTGTATATAATATAATATATATTTTGTTTATAACAAACGACATGTGTTGTGGTTTCAGCTGTCCGGTTTGGCGTTTCTGGCCTACGGTCTGATCATCAGATATTATTCGTCCAAGACGGATAACCTGGCAAACCAAGCAGCCGGCGATTCTGCCGGATTGGTCGCTTTGGCTTTAATCATCATTGGCAGCGCCGTGTTTGTCATATCGTTCTTCGGGTGTTGCGGAGCCATCAGGGAGAGTCATTGCATGGTCACCGTCGTGAGTATAATAACTTATGGAAAATTATAAAAAAAAAACCGCCTAATATATAATATGTCATAACGCATGCACCTCGCGGTTAGGACCAAACAAATGGGTTTGCCCGTGTGCACCGATTTGAATCGACAGCGGAATCACAGTGTAGTGAAACCGAGTATTTTTTATTTTTTGGTCTCGTTGAGTAACTATACAAACAAACAAATAATATTTGTACAAAAAACCAACAAGATTTCCAGATAAATTAGATAAACCTACCTAAAACCGGGATAAATAGGCATTTTTTTGTTGCTATCGCCGTTAATACGTTTTAACTCCGACACTTTTGTTTTGCCCAGTACGCCATGTTCCTGTTGACTTTGTTCCTCGTCGAGTTGGCAATCGTGGTTTATCTGTACATCAACCAAGGTAAACTGGAAGAGATCACCCGGTCATCGATGACGTCCATATTCAACAGCTACTCGACCAAGAACGAATCGAAAGCCTTTGTTGACGAAATGCAAGCCGATGTAAGTATATTATAATATTTAACTATACTATACTAGTTTCTTAAAGATAATAAGATTATAAAGAGACGGACTAATACAACATAATAGCTTGTATACTATAGTGAAGTAAACAGGAGGACTAAGACCAGTGTGACCACACAAAAGAAAAAATGCCTTCGTGTCAACCGATTGGTCCGCTTTTCTTAAAATATTATTATTGTTTTATTTTCTTTCAAGATATCATTGATATCTCAACACCTCGGTATTTTTTGAATGATATTTTTGTTCTTCTACTTAGAAATAGGCATTTAGCTAGGCAGACTGACTTAAGTCCTTCTGTTTGCGTCACATTAAAACCATTATGGCCACTCCTCCTAAAATATATGAAAAATAAATACAACGACAATACGGTTTAATTATTGTGCACGGTTAATGACATTAACAATTATTGTACAGTTCCATTGTTGTGGCGTGGACAGCCCGAGTGACTGGACAACCCAAGGAATCCCGGCTCTGCCACACTCCTGTTGCCGGGAAGACGGAGGACAGGGCACGACTTGCTCAAAGACTCAAGCTTGGCAGGACGGATGCATGTCGAAGACCATTGAAGTGGCCAAGAGGGAAGGATCCAAGTTGTTTAAATTCGTGTTGGGAATAGCCGGTGGTGAAGTGAGTAACGAATATTTTGTCTAACTGCCAAAAGATTGTATTCTTTTAATTTTTAATTAAACATCTACTGCGAGACAGTTTAATTATTCCTGTTGTGGAATACATAAAAAAAAAAACAATTTTAATACACAGTTATTGCTTATTACATTAACATTTTGCCGATTAGATAGGTCAGATTCTTTTATGGTTAATTTCGTTATTAACTCTTCCGGGTAGTGAATTTTAAGTAAATTAAAAAAAAAATTACAACGAAAACACATAAAACTAGATTCGAAACAATAATAATGCGGTAATTTCCAAATGGAACATTTTATTGGCTTTTATATTGTTTAATGGCTCGGTTGAACCTAACCTGACATGTGCTACAGATAAACTGGGAAACAAGTATTTTTTTTTTTTTGCTTTTATTTCCAAACACACCCATCTTCCTACAATTTTAATTTATCGGATAAAATTCAGATAAAGCATCGTATGTGTACATATTCTATCTCAGATTAATTTTGAAGAAGCTGACTAACCCAATTATTGACACAGACATTTAAAATATGTATATTTTTTATCTAAAACTATTCAAAAACATATTTTATTTGTATTGTTTTTCAATCGACCGTTTCTGTTTAACTATATTATTGGTTTTTTTTTCAGTTGGTCGGTATCATATTTGCTCTGTGTTTGGCGAGTAGCATAAAGAACGAGGAACGCAGACAAGGCTATGCTTAAGTATTCGCTGGAATCATAGTTTTCTGTCACATTTCATTCACGTCCCAAACGTTAATAATAATAATAATAATATTATTAAGTACACAAGACTATACCCGTTTCTCTGTTTTGGTTTTCTCCTACACATAAGTCTACAACGATACACAATCGCCGGACAATTTCACAAATACATTTTATATCATTATTTGTTTGTATAATTTATAGAAATGATAATTATTTATATTTATAGTGTATAAGTTAACGATAATCGTGTTGTGTGTACAATACAGGCATTTAGTTGAGTGTTTTTCTTTTTATATAAAAAAATTCTAGCACTAAAAATTCTAGTGTTGGCAAGTTGAATATAATATTTTATAAGTATATAACGTTACAATTTATTATTATTATTTTATATATTTCTATATTAAATTATTATCATTATTATTGTACAGATAGAAAACAACAACACTGAACTAGTATAAATTCATTATTTTGTTGTTAAATCTAATGATAATATAAGTTATGTACAATTCGCACGTGTCCTCGTCCGTTTGTTGGCGACCGTGTAGCTTTTATTTTTGTTTTTGTCACTTAATTTTAAAGCTTTAAGTTTGTTTAGCTTGATTTAAAAATAAAAAAAATCTATAACCTTATATAGTTATAATTTGACTGTTTTTATTTAGTTTGTACTAGCGTTTGAGTATCTAACATTTATTAGAAATCTTACAACGAAAACCGTTATAATGACATCATGTATAATATCAACATTATAATTTATAATAATAGATGAACCATTTATTGTGGTTTTCTTTTGTGAACGTAAAGCTCTAACAGATGTCTAGAATTATTGCATATTTCACTGTTATCTCCAGTGATGATTCCAAACAAATATTATTATGATTGTTTATTTAATTACAACAAATACTGTATAATTTAGATTGGATATGTATTCATATCCAAATTATAAAAAAAAAACATGATCAAATATTATCCAGTACCTATAATATTAAGTGGAGTTTTCATCGACTTTAGCGCCACCACCTAGGCGACCTCCCAGCATTTGTATTAACAATATTTGTCACCATACTTGTAATAGTGGATACACTATTATATTAATATTGGATGTAGCTTTGCCATTTTTTTAAAATAGTGTTAAATTCATTAAAGATATCGTCATCGATTAAATTTAGCGTATCGACTACGTTTTGTCTTATCGATTGAAAATTTGTCATGTGAAAGTCGAGGTTTTCTTTGAAACCAAAACTGTTTTTACATTCAACATATATGGTTTAAAATCATAATTTTCATACATTTTTTTTGTATTTTGGAGATTACTTTTAAATGATTTAAAAATATATATTCTTCGGTAGTATTTTTGATCAAATTACAATAAATAACGTGATACTTTAAATAGCAAATTTGCCTAGGGTAGGTCAGAAATATTTTAAAAGATATAAGAATGAATATTATTAAATAAAGAACAATTTTAACGAGTAAGAGTAACATTTTTCAACAAATTTTTTTTAGACAATTCCAAATGCCTTGTGTTGATTAAACATTGTAACTAAAAACAAACAATTGTATTTTTGAGAAAACATTTTATTCAAATGATAAAATTAACATGTGGCTAAAAGTAACATTCGTAGGTACCGTTAGTTAGTTTATTATAAGTACAGTATAGATAATGTAAAAATTATATGGTTTGAAAATTTAACATTGGCAACTCTATAACCTTAAAAATAACATAATATATTGTGATTTCAAAAACAAATGTAAGTCCACAAAAATATTTGTAAATGATTCAAACTAATTAATATATATTATAAACAAATTATAATAACATTGATTGATTTATAATGATTAATTTTAAAACAACAAATGAATTATTCTAAAAGACTTAAGAAGCTGTCTTAACAAACGTATCAATTACATTACTTAGGCAGGTTATTAATTTATATATGTATTCTATCATTATTAGATGATTCCATTTAAACTGTTTAAACTCTACAGTTAAAAAACGACAATTAATCAAGTTTTTCTGCAGTTTTAAAATTCAAAAACATCGAAATACGATCGCTATAGTCATTGAAAAACTTCAAGTACGATTGAAGTAATTTCAACTCCAATGAATCTTCAAACATTCTATTAATCGCATCACTTATCGATTTAGACCTACCTACGAGCATAAACATAACGATTCGTGGCTTTATATCTACAGGTGGGATATTTAATGATGAACATACAGAATCTAGTTCATTTTTGACTTTTCCAACAATATCATATTTAGGTTCAAAGCGATAGCGATGGCTTTTTTTATTATGTAATAATTCATTTTCAAAAAGTGTATATAGCTCATTGAAGACACTATCCTTTAAATTCAATTTATCCATAACGTTTGATAAAAACAGTTTGAACCTTGATATGTCAGAAATGAGATTTGGGGTATATTCATTCATTATGGCACTATTATGATATTTTGTAATTCTTAGTTCTATCAGGAATTTCCAAGTGATTCGAAGGCAAATAAATCTAAGTATGTCAATCATCATAAAATTAAGTTTTCCGAACATTAGTAATCCTCTCAATCCTTGGTTTTTAGAAATCTCTAAATGAGGCTTCATTGCTTGATTCAATGCTTCCCATGTACCTTCTTCCATATAAATAAAATAATATGATTCAAAATTGTTTTGAATCTTAATATATTTTTCGTCGATTACGTTTTTTAAATAAATTGTAGTGATCTTTGGGTTGATAACACTTTTAAGACCCTTTTCCAGATTGCCTTCGTGTGAATTGTTAAGCGATTTTTTATTATTAAATATTAACTTACGTGCGCGAGAATGAGAATATAACTTTTCAGGATTTATGTTGAAACGATTTTTACCTTTACAATTTGACTCGAGATATTTGTTGAGTTCAGTAATAACAAAACGATTTTGCTGCATTATGTTTTTTTGAATACCGCTTAGTCTCCACCGTGTTATCAAAGGTATTTGGAAGTAATTGTTCATGGTAAATGCGTGATTGTAAACTAACCATATTTCATTCATCTGTATTCCATTTACATCGAAAAAAGAGCTTACCATTTTCACGGATTCTTCTAAGAACGAAATAAAATCGGGTTTTAGTGAAAAATAGTTTTGTTTTTTAAAATTGTTGTAGACTATTAAAAAATGTAAATGTGCACTGAAAAGATTTCCACATTTAAGTTGGTCGAATTTGAAAATTATTGCTTGCCTTAGTTTTTCAATAGACAAACTAGCGTAATCGGGTGATAACTCATCGTTTTGCATCTCATACCCAGTATTAAGTAATTTTACTTGATTCCATTGTGTTAGGAGTTCTGCATGTTCATCGCACGACATTGATGTCAGTTTGAATATGAAAATTAAACATATTACACTGTACTTAGTGAAAACCATTTTCGTTTTGTTATATTTCTACAATTCAACTATAATTGTATATTAATTTAATAGATCCAAAATAAAATTGCAAACAAGTAACCTTATAGAACAGAAAGTACAAAGTGTGTGTATTTTGGAGATAAATATTCGAATAGATTATACATGTTTATATTAAATTATATAAGTTCAATTGTTTATCTAAATACACATTATTTTAAATAAATTTGTTTGTTTATGTATAATTTACAAGTGTTTTATTGATTATTGGTTTTGATACGAAGCTGCAAGGAATTGGTTTTACAGTGTTACGTTTATTTTAGTTGGTTTCGTAAGTGTACATATATTTTAGGAATAAAGAATATGCTAAGAATCGTGCTGGATTATTAATTGCGTTTTATGAAACCAGCAAAGATGAATCATTTTTCTTTGTTACTAAGCATTTAAAAAAAATATATTTTATTTTATAGTTGTGGAGTAATTTTTGATAATAATCAAATAATAAACCATTAGTAAAAGAAGTTTACAATTTTTCGATGACATTCGATTTGCTATCACCGTTTATAGCAATGCTTAGGTAATTGAAAAAGATCAGTTATTAAGGAATTTTATGTATATTTTTTATTCATACCTATTCTGTTGGAGGTTTAAGGGTTTTGTACAGTCTAAATTTATTTTGTGTAAAAAACAAAACAATAAAAAATCTGCATTAATTTACATTGTTGTAATTCCTACAAATATTGTACCTTTTTGATTGGATGTGTTTTCAATTCCTGCTAATAACCCAAAGTTCTATTTTATCAAGTAAAAAGACCGTTTCAATTAAATCTGAGCCGGTGCGACACATTTTTCATATCCATATTATAAAAAAACAATGATCAAATATTATCCGTTGATAACATTTTCAAGGCCTTTTACCACATTGTAATCATGGAAATTGTTTAGCGATTTTTTATTATCAAGTATTAGCTTACTTACGTGAGGAAGAAAATTTGTATTGTTCTTTAAAATAGAAAAATTCACTTCAATGCTTTCTAACGCAGCAGAATTTTTTCTGAAAATATTGTCACCGTCACAATTTTTTTCGAGATATTTTTCGAGTTCAGTAATAACGAATGATTTTGCTGCATCATGTTTTTCGGGATATTGGACAGTCCCCATCGACTTACCGAAAGTAAATGGAAGGAGTTGTTTATAGTGAACGCATGATAGTAAAGCAGCCATAATTCAGTCATCTGTATTTCTCTAACATCGAAAAACAAGCTAACCATTTTCACGGATTCTTCTAAGAATAAAATCAAATCGCTTTTTAGTAAATAATAGTCTTTTTGTTGAAAATTTTTTTCTACTACTGAAAAATGGAAATGTGCACAAAACAGATAACTACATTTGAGTTGGTCGAATCTGGAAATTATGGCTTGCCTTACTTCCTTGTTAGATAAATCAACTGGTGCCAACTCATCGTTCTGCGTGTCATACCCAGTCTTAAGTGAACTTACTTGATTCCACTGTGTTAGTAATTTTGCACGTTCTTCCGTTGAATTATCTCCGCACAACAGCGTCTTGTGTTGGAGTATGAAAAATATAAATAGGACACAAATCTTTGTGATGAAAATCATTTTCTATAATAGGTCAAAAAATTTACGAACTAGCAACCATCAAGAACGGGGACTTTGTACTGCATGTTTGTTTTGTTGGGTACAGATTTGAATAACATACTTTTCTGAAAATATTTAACTTAATACGTGAACGACAAGTATTTTTTGTTTTCGATATTGCGCTGAAATGGTATAAGTTGAAACATTTTTATGTTTTTGTATTTTTTTTATATGTTTTCGATCACGTTTGTTTTAGCCGCCTAACCACCATCTAACAATTCAATACAAGACACCAATAAAAAAAATAAATTAAATATAAATAAATATAAATTGCTATATGAGCCTATTTTTCTTAAAATTTTTCGAAAAAATGTGTTCAATACGTTCGAGCTTATTGAAAATTTTGTTTTATAAGACATAATTTACAATTGAATTTCTATAGTTTAAAATACAAAACTTCTTATTATCCCCACTACAATTGACACTACCTCCAAAATCCTTCTCCGCAGCCGAAGTGACAAAATTGAAATGAACTGTTAACACTTTTAATAATGGGTTTTTTTCTCTTTAGCGAATGTTATTCTGTTTAAACGCGTATCGGTGAATCAAATTATGACCCAAAAACCTCAAAATTTGATATTAAAACACTTGTTGAAACTTACGGGTAATCGTGGATTTGATTTTGGCCACTCGATTGATTACTACCTAGATATTTAACTGTATTTCTATAAAATTTTACAATATTATAACGTTTTTTTATGAATCAGCCAACCATTACAAGAAACTATTAATTAAAAAAACATAACTCCACTAAATTGGCCTAAGAAAATGTATTTCTAAAGTTAGACCTACGAAAAAACTCAGGATGTTCGTGTCGGGAACAGAGTCAGACGGACTTTAGTTTTTCTAGTCGAGTCGTTCACTCTGACACATAGCCTGATTAACCTTTTTAACGCATTGCCAACCGTAGTCATCGCACTCCTTATGATCTCTGCTTTGGCATTGACCACTTGGAACAGTCCGATCACAGCTCTAACGGGCTTCGACAGCATGGAGTGTAAGGTAGACGTCATGTTTCTGACACGGTCAAGCGTGGCAATAGCAATGGCGATCACCCTGTCTTGGATATCTCCCGGGCTCGAGGGCGATGCCAGGGGGGCTGCATTTGAGGGTTCGGGCACGGTAGATTGTCTTCCGGTGGATTTCGATAGACCCGGATCTACTGAGGGCAATGACTTGTCGCCCCTATTTTTCGTCTTCTCGAGACGCTCAGCACCTTCCAACCCTTCCGTTAAGGTGGCAATCGAGACTTTATCTCCGCTTCGCACTTTGTTGTACAATCCGTTCAATTCCATTAATTCGAACCTGCGAAAGTGTTCAGAGCTAAGCTAGAAGCGGTTGGCCTTAGAATCCATCGCTACAGACACCGATCAGATATCTGTAGCCACGATTTAAGGTAATACTCTAATAAATTTAATCCAAAAAACATATATTTCGAATAACTACTAGTGCTCCTATCGGTGATTCAAGATAACCATTCAGAAAATCATCTATTGGTAGCTGAGCAAACTCAGTTAAAAGTATCCACACTTCATGCAAATACATCAATACATGGATATGTCCTGTTTAAGACTATATATTGCAAGGAAATTATAGATCGGATAATGATAGCGGTTTGGTAACCATATTATCTTAAATCGTGCCCACGTGACCTAACCTGACCGAGACACTCGTATAACCTCCATGGGGACTACCGCAAATTTTTGGGGAAGCCACCCTATTTTTGTCCAGAAACAAGAATCAGAAGAGTCGGGGAGCTTCGTAAAACAATGTCAAGTCTGGTACTTGAGGGTCATTTGCAGTCTTCGCTTTTGGCGCATCATCTCGGTCAGTCGAACTGCGCAGGAGTCGAGCTTCTTCTGGATTGAATCCAACCGGGTGTTCTTGAACCCGGCTATTCGGTTGGCCATTACCTGCAGCTGTACGACAGGTGGAATTACCGGTTGGCCCTGTAGATCGTCTAACGCTTCGGTCCATACTTTTTTGGGTTTTTTCGGAAATAAGGCAGCAGGGTTTGCACCCATCACTACCAGTTTGGCGGCCAGGTCTTCCCTAATCATCAGCAGCACTATGAATCCGATCAACGTACCACAAACTACATACGAAACGAGTGTGAAAATATTTAATAAAATCGCCACAATCATAACCGAACGACAGACAAGTCGTGTCAGATACAGAAGTCACTTTTCATTTTCTATAAAATTAGAGTTCAAAATTTTCGTTTTAGATTTTTTTTAAATCATACACAATACTGACAGTTGTTTACAGCGTTGTCACGGTTAAATCTTTAGCGGTGCTTGAAACAAAAACGGATCAGTCGACATTCATAATTTAAGTTTATTTTACTATTAACGTTTTACCTTGATTGTTTTCGATAACTATAAGGCCAATAGATAATAACTAAAAACAAAATGTTTAAATGTCTTGGAAGTATATTAATACGAAATTATATTTAAAATGTTATGTTGATATTTATACAATAAATCTTATTTTAGTCCGAAATGCACAAGTAAATTTGAATGAAATAATTTAGTGTCATGGTGTGTCTGCTAAAATCATAATTAAATACTTCATAAACGGTAGATACAATCTTTGATTGTATTATTTGATCATTTGAGTGTTTAAGTAACTACACTAATGTTGAGATGGAACGATACCTAAGCATGATATGATGTAGTAAAATGAAATAAATTGCACAAAATTAAACATAAATCAAACGGTTTTATTTTGTACAAAAAGAAAACATGTCATAAGTTTACATATCGAGTCTAAATACTTAATTCTAAAAAAGAAAAAAAAACATTTTTTTTTTTTTTAGGTACAAGCACAGACTACCACCGCGAGTAAGCCGAGGTGTTAAAATCAATTATTCTGTTTAAAAATTATAATATTGTATTTTACCCTACGGATATATAAAATTTTATTTCGTGTTAATATCACACAAACAAAATAATTTAAAAACAAATAAAATATCATCGGTAAGTACAACGATGAACGTTGACAACAGGTAACCTAGGAGCGCTTAAAAAAAAAAAAAAACAATATAATATACTGTACACGACAATAGTAATAGTAATAATAATTGCAATAATATATTATTTAAAATAAATTTACACCTTTATATTATATATAATAATAATATATTGTAATAGCGTATCATTTTGTAAAAAATAATAATACAATTTGTTTAGTTTCTTAAAGGATTTCTTGGTGTGTAAATCCTAATAAGACACACTGTAGTAAACGATACAGATAAATCGGGAGGGAGGGAGGAGGGTCAAGCGTCGAGGACGTTCATTCGGAGTCGCCGCAAGAGTCGCTCAAGGACAAGCCGGAAAACCGGCGGTGGAGCGAGCCGTTTTGCTTGACGGCGGCTGGCGGGTCGCCGGAATCGGTGCTCAGCGAAGTGGTGGACAGTTCCTCGAGGAAGTCGAAGTTGGCGATGGCCTCGCGTTCCTTGTCGCCGAACCGGACGAAGAAGTCGCTGCGGCCCACGATGGACTGCCTGAGGCCGGCGGTCGGACACCGGATCACGCCGAAACCGTCCCGGATCGCCGAAGCTATAAGCAATAAGAAAACAACAAGCGTGAGAACCGCGTTTAACCGTATTATACATTGTTTGATTACACCTTTCGGCCGTGAATTCAATAAAAAATAAAAATAAAATAGTTAGACGTCCCATAAATTTGTCGTACGTCTCTCACCTTTTTTCTGTCTGCGAACGCGGTGCAGCCTGTGCAATTGGTTGTACGACTCGACGTTAGCACCGTCGACGGCCACCGCCGCCGCTCTGGTCGCGACGCACGTATGACCGCCACCGACGTCGGTCGTCCGCTCGTTGTCCGAACTGCTGTCGTCCGCTTCGCTACAGCTGCCGGACGAACTGCTGTCCACGCTGCTGTTGGACGGCGCGCTGGTACTGCTCGACGAGCTCCGGCTGGACGCCAACATCACGTCCAGCAGATTGGCCCTTTCCTGTGGACACAAAACGGCACGGCGGTCATTCATCGTGTGGTTTTTTTGTGTTATAGACTCAAAAAACAAAATCCAAAATCTAAGTACACCGTTAGTCGTCTACAGCGAAACGAGTATAAATACACAGTAAACAAAATCACAACAGAACGACATGCAATATTATTGAATACCGATTGCCAAGGTGACAAAAACGATAGTACACGCCAACTGACAAAGTAACAAAGATTTGTCATTCTCTCTCTTAAAAAACGCCACAATCGGGTTAGGTCGAACAATGAAAGTACAGCTAATGTAGACGATTATAGGCATAGGTAACATTAACGAACGCCATTGTTCAAAAAACGATACGAGATCGGTTCATCATAACATTGTTGGTCATTAAAAAAATATTTAACCCGGGTACCAATTTTCGGAAACTGAGAAATTATTGAAAAACAGTATCTAAACGCTATTGTGTACGGTAAAAACCGTTTGTCCGGCTTACAAATGACACCGCGTGTGGACGGTTTATTTGTTGTGACCATTATAAAATGTTAAACGTACAAATCGATTTTTAATGTCACGATTGCGGCTGATAAAACGCCATTAAGTTTAACGGCCCGTCGCAAGCATATTGCTTATTGATTTTCAATAACGGTAAATTGTACACACGGAGCACAACAATATTATCAGTTCCGATCAGACAAGAAAGTCTAAAAAAACGAGACGTAAAGGATTTTTGTTTTTGAAATGATATTTTAACGACCGAAAATGAAGCTGAAAATTGCCGAAAATAGTACATTTTGTGTTTAACAAGTATTATGATTTACATGCTGTGGTGATGCCAAAAATACCATCGCAAACACGGTGTAGTAAAGTTAGAAAGGCCAAATGAATAATGTAATGATTACCAACAACGACTGATAAATAATGCACGAGACAGAGACGAGAACTGTTAAACGTCGAGGGAGAGACTTTGTGAATAATATAAACCGAAAGCAAGACGTTGAATTAAGACCGCTGCGATATGTCAGAATTTTGCTTGTCTTGGAAAAACGGTTAAGTTCAATGGCAAAACAATCATAATGCATTATTGAATAATTGATTCAATGGCAAAATGTTCACCTTGGGGTCGGCGAAATCGATGTCCCGCTCGAGGTGCACCCAACCGGTGGGACAACAGCAAGCGGCGTCCAGGTCGGTTTGCAGCGGAGACGTCCGTTCGGCGGACATGGGCGACACGGTCATGCCATCGACGGGCGAACCGGAAGAACGGTGACCGCCGGTGTCGCCGACCACCATCCGGTTGAGTTGTTCGATGAAGTCTTTGGACGACGTCGGCCACAGCACGGTTTCGCCGGTGCACACGCTGCTGGAATCGAGACGGCCGGAAGACGGCTGTGGCGACGTTGACTTGGCCGACGAGTCTTCGTCCTCTTCGGGCACGGTGCGCAACAGTGCCGCGGTAGACGACGAAGACGTGCCGATCGGCGAGGACAGAGTCGACGGCCGGTACTGCGAACGGACCGGCGAGTGTTCGTCTTCGGGCAAACACTCGATTTCGACGTCACTGCCGCATAGTCCGCTGTCTTTGGAATTGAGCAGGTTGTCGCTATAGCTGTTGCTGACGGCCGCGGCCGACGGTTCGGGAGGACCGGCCGGTTTTGGGGTAGGTTCGACCACGTCTTCGGCCTGTCTGGTCAAACAGTATTGTTGCTGTTCCGCGATAAAGTCCAACACGCTCTGCAGCGCCTGTTCGCGTTCTTGCACGGCCATATCGGCGGGCCGCAGGTGTTCGCAGCAGCCAGTCACGCTCCTCGACGATGTGGACGCCAAGCTCTTGGAACTCTCGAACTTGACCAGCCGGTAAAAGTCTCGCGTGAAGTCGGTGCCGGCGATGGGCCCGGGCGGCGGCAACAAGTCGACGCTGTCGCAACAGCTCATCGATGACCGTTTCGACGGCGGCGTGTCGGCGGGCACGTATTCGTCCGCGCTCGACCAGGAATCGCCGCCCGGTGAACCGGTGTTCCGGCTAAAGTGGTGCCACGACAGTACGTCTTTGGTGGACAAACACTTATCGACACCACCACCGCCGTTGTCATCGACCCCGGCGTCCCACCGGCGAGGGTCGCCGTCGACGTCCGAACCGCCGTCCTCTTCGATACAGGGCAACGACTGTGGTTTGCCACCACCGTCGGCGGCCAATTTTTTCCATGCGCCGCCCGCACCACCACCGCCGTCGGCCGTCGCGTCCTCCATGCTCCAGTCCTCCAGCTCGGCCGCGTCGTATTCCATCCGTTGCTGTATGGCCGTCCGCGTCTCGTCCAGCCGCAGCCAGTGCTGCACGTAGTCCATGTCCCACAGTTCGCCGCCGCTGTACCACGACGTGCGGTCCTCGTCGTCGGCCAAAGCGGCGGCCGTTCCCGACGCTTTGGCCGCGGTGGCCAGTTTCAGGAACAGGTGCGAGTCCGAGTAGCTGCGCATGATGTGCTGCACATTCGGCACGTTCGATAGACAGCGCAGCGGCGGGTAACTGTGCCGCGGGTTGATGAAGCTGAACGACAGGCTGAGCGGCAAAAATATCACGTCCGTGTCTTCGCTGTTCGTTACTCTGAAAACAAAAAACAGTCGTTACTATAAAAAAAGCCAGTACAGTGAGGTCGGGACATAGTGGATCATTATGGGCAGGGGTCCGTAAGAATTATTAAAACTTAAAGTCATTGGCGGAGATCAGGAGGAGGGCTTAGGATTTTAAAAACCTTAAAACTTTTAATTAGTGCTTCATTTAATTGGATTTCAACAAACATCACTTAAAAATAAATGTAGGTATTTTGAAAAATACTATTTTAAGTGTTAAGGTTTTCAAGTATTCCAACCCCTGATCTCCGCGAATGATGAAATTGATAAAATAGTCTGTAAATAGTAAATGTTATTGCAATGATAATAGCTGTCTGGTCGAGTTGTGGTTTATTACCTGGAGCACGGCGAAGATTCCATGAGAGCGTTGGATTCGTTCTCGTTGGCTTCTTTCACGTCCTCCAGACCTTTGGTCGACGGGGCTTCGGTGGTGCCTTGCACGTCGCTGGACATGGTCGAGTACCCTTCGTCACGGTTACCGCTCTCGGGCGTCTCGTCTCCAAGCACTCGGTCGCATTTCGAAGATTCTTCGGCTGTGTCCGAGACAATAACGAAAATTATAAATTCAAAATTTTTAACAATATTTTAACAATACTCACCGTTGCGTGAACAAGATATTTCCAGGTTCAACGACTGCGGTCTGTGATAGGAAAACGCCTGCCGACCGACGTCGCCGTTGGCGAGTTTCTTAAGTCCTTTGGTAAGATCACAGCTGGCCGGCCGTTCGATGGACATTTTCTGAAAGCCACACAAAACGTCAATACCAGCTATTTTTGATTAAGTCCGGGAAACGCAGAAGCAGGCTAGAAGCTTACCAACGAGGGCGAACGATGAATATCGAACACCACGGACCTGGTCTCGGCCACGGGCATGACGGCCGGTGTGTAAGTGATTTTTTGCCCTAAACGCTGCACCAAAAGAGTGGACAGCGCACAGTTGCCGGTTTCCAACTCTTTGACTCTGTGCTGCAACGACGATATCTCTTCGCGCAAACCCTGATCGAACAACATGTGATTAGGCGATTAGCATCTTAATGCAATGAATGTCAATCGGTGCAAAATCATTGGACTTGCAAGAGTAATGCTAATCGTGGGGAAAGGACAATACAATCGGCATGGTAACACTTGATTTCTACTTTGGGAATATGGAATGAATATGAACGTAAGGATAAGTTTTAGGGTGTATCTGGAATTAGCCTCATTAATATTCCTTGACCCTTTTCCGGACAGCGATGAGAAACAGCTGATTATAGCTAGAAGAGGTGAGGATTTTGTAGATAGAGCGTGGGTAGTAAGGGAATTCATTGTTTTTCATAGCTAATTCACTAGATGTCGCTCCGGTTATAAGAGTATTAAATGATTTGGTGGAAGGTGCTACATCTGCAAGGAGGAGCTGTGGGCGATTTACTTCATCTCAGACGTGTACGTACCTTTTGCGACAGGACCGCTTTGACCACTTGTTTGGCCACGTCGTCCAGACACCTCTCGTACTGTTTGCGCTGCTGTTCGCCTTCCCTCTCGATGCGACTCTTCTCGTGCTCCAGTATCCTCAGGCGTTCGACCAGCGCCTTTTGTACCTGACTAATGCCCTGCGCAAACAAACAAACGTCGTATCCGATTACCAAAAGGAGATTTTGAGACAACAACCCCTCGGGGGGGGGGGGGGGGACAATGGTCTCTCTCTATCTAAAATACCAAACAATTTTGTCGGTCGTTCGACGCTTACCGTGGCCTCGAGCGTGTTGATCTGTTTCTTTAGCGTTTCGTTTTCGATTTTCAACTTGGTGATGGCGTTTTGCAATTGCAGTATTTGGTTCTGGAACATCAAAAAGACACAGCGTTAATGGAGTGGGTATATCACACACAACGTGTGTGGCCTCCGGGGAGGAGACCGCCGCGACGACGTTTTTTTGACAATAATTTGTTTTTTTCGCACAAATAGACATGTAAGACGCCGCCGCCCCGGTGAAGTCTCGCGGTTAGGTTTTGTGTAATATATTAATACTCCAGCCGACCGCATTAGAACGTGACGGTGGAAGATTTATAGACCTCCCGGCCGCCACGACGGTTTTCGGATGATTCGCCAAGACCCAAGAGAAGTGCCAAGGAGAAGAAGTAAAATAAAATAAAATATATTATAAACAAACGTCATTAATCTTGGCGTCCAATTTTACCCGCATACAGCAGAGGAGAGGGGGTACGAATAAATAAATAAATTGATATCCGCGGTTCTTACCGTATACCTTATCTCATCCGCATAACGATATCCCTATCCCCCCGTCCGGACGCTCATCGATCAGACAGAAAAGAAAGGTAATAATTTCCCTTTGTCTAAGCGACGAGGACCGAAGGCGGTGAAGAGTTTACACGTGACATTTCATTGCTTTTTATTTTCCCAAAGCGGTTTTCCGAAAAAACTAATAAATATTAAAAGTATTTACAGTTATACACCAACGTCACTTGTACCACGACCGCACTTCAATAATAATTACAGGTACATGTATAGTTTTTTCAAATGTATATTTTTCGCTATCGGATTAAAACAAAAAAACAAACGGACCTACTGCGAGCGACGCTTAAGTACGACGACCATCCCTCGGTGGTAAATTATTATTTTCATATTTTTGTCATACTCCGGACACGAAAGGCGGTTGTAATTTATAGCGTTCGCGTGACGTAAACGCATATAGAGCCACACAACCGAGTTGTTTGCCTTTGCCCACTAAACATATCATAACCATAATAATATAAAATAAATGCAAAAATCGCGATAAATATTGTGTTTTTATTTTCGATTTCAGAGTCGGTTCAACTGTTGCCGGCCAATTTCACATTAATAAAACGGTACACTTAAACTCAACCGAACGCATGTAAAATATTGTACAAAAACTACACACATTTTCTACTGTAATTACACACAATTGTACGAATCGGCTAACACCGCGTTTTTTTTGAATTTCAAAAGAAAGTACCAACGGAAACGGTCAACGCTTTAATGTCGATGTGATGATAACACTATGCGGAAATTAACATAATGCATACACTCTTGTGCTCGCTTGTGCTGTTGATCATAAATAAATGTGCAAACTTTTTCAGCCGTAAAGCTTTTAACATAATGGAAATGAATAATAGTTGTGACGCGTTACACGCGTTATTATTATAATATATACATAAGAGAGCTGTGTATATATACTGTCGGACAACCCGCCATATTTTCTTTAAATAAATTCATATTTATGATGATTCGCGCCAAAGTCGAGTGCTGTTACACAAATGCATTTTGCATGTAAAATTGCTATCCGTTTCGAAACGCGAACTCGTTGATTGCCGTATTATATTTTCATGCAAATATTGACACAAACAAATTGGCAAAAAAAAATCTCGTGTGTGATGTGAAATGGAAACTGTACCGTAGTTATCGATTTGTTAAGCAGATAACGACAACTAATAATAATAATAAAACAAAATGTCATTTTCAGATGCTCAACGCAGCCCGATCGGCTGAACCGGAAGTTCCAACGCCTATCACAACCGGAAGTAGTGAACAGTATATCGCATCTTTATTTGCAGAGTTTCAACAATTTCACATGATTGTTTTGCACGCTTCAAAATGTAAAATAAAATTACTTAAAACGTTTTGTCGTCGAATTTGTTTCTACTTCAATAGCAAATAATAACATTAGCAAACAAGCTTTGGGTAATAATTTAATTTGGAATAATTGTCTTCAGTGACCATTGTAGGAAAAATGCAAGATGTTTATTACAACATTCTATTTAGTTAGAAAAAATACATTTAATTTAATTCAAAACGCCAATTTAGTTATTAAAGAATTTATTTCTAATTACCAGATGTTATAAAGTAATTTAAAAATGTATGTATATTTACTTATTTTTCTTTTTATAAATTTGTTTTGTGCTTTTGGTCAGTGTACAAAGTGTGTCGAGTAGAGGACACGAAATGTTAACACAAACACACGGACTTGTCTTTGAACGGGTTTTTTGGCAGTATGGAGAGGACGGATATTTTTCCCAGGATCGTAAAGTCTCCGGGGATTTGGTCGGTAGGGGAAGAGTGGTGTGGGGGGGGGGGCGTAAGTATGGCGAGCAGATGTCCCCGGGACTGTATGGCCGGTCCGACCGGAACTACAATATAAATACTACTCGGTTAACACCTGCCCCGAGCCGCCGAGGATAATAGTACAGAGATAATGATTATATTGGCAAAAAAAAATTACCCCGAGATTAGATCTCGTTTACAAAGCCAAAGCGGGGGGGAAAACCGGCACGACGTTATACCGCGGGGGTGTTTTTTGTCTGTACCGGGCAAACAAATATATATATATATACATATATACATATGTAGTTATAGAAAACACTATTATACGCTAGGCCGGATTGGCTTTGTCAAAGGGGAATCGCGTAGACCGTGGAGGCTGCAAACAATTACCATAATATACGATAAACGTGATGTTGTACAAGTTTGTATCATATTGAAACGGTTAGGTCAGGGATGCGTTATAACCGACGGCAAAATCATAATAATTCGTTCGCAAAGAGGAAACGATAAAATTAAATATTAAAAAAACACTTTTTGTAGTTTACTGAAATAGATAAAAAAAAAAAAAAAAAAACGTTGAATTTAAGTGCAATTATAAATATTTAAATTAGAAAAGCGGAGGCGTTATGCTAATTTTTGAAGAAAAAAAATTACTTGTTTATCAATTTATTTCTAATTATAACAATATATTTTACGTGGAACGGCTTTAAGTCTTAAGGCGACTTAAAGGAATATTTATTGGATAGATTAAACTATTTAAGAAGAAACAAATAGAGAGAGGAAAGAAAATGAAACGAGCAGTTCTCAAACTTGGCTGTACATACATTGTATAGTTTAGTTTTTAGTAACATGAGTTTGAAAAAAACACACACTCACATCATTGTAGATTTTAATACCTTATCATCTCCGCGTTGAAGCTACAATACTTGGCTTGTATTGATTCCATTAGGGAAAATTAAAATGACTAAAGTAACTGGTTAAACAAACCAAAAGTCAGCTCTTTGTAAAAATAATTTTAGTGGCAGTTTCAAATTTAATAACTCTAAATCCTAACTATATCCTATGTGTATAACAAAATAGTTTACATACTACTAAAATTAAATTTCTTAATTTACACTTTTATGTAGTCTCACACAGCATAATTTCGTTAGCCAAACAAAAGTGTTTGGGAACCGCGCTTGGACGTTTGATGACTTTTCCCAAACGGTTACTATTTCGAAAGAAATAGGAATGGCTGTTCTTTGAAACGAATGATGATGGTAATAATACACCTGAAATCGGCGAGCACTGTCAGGGTTTAATAGGACTTGGCGTTATTGGTAAAGTTTCCAGGAAAAACATCATCGTTGTATGTATACTTTGTGCGTACGGGCTCGCCTGGGCACAATTATCGGGTCGTAAAAACCTTTCGGATCGATTAGCTCTGACACACAAATAATACTTTTTACAATCATCATCACGACTGCTCGCATACTGCTTAATAATGTACAACAGACTTGCGAAGGAGGAGAAAAGGGGAGATAGATCCGGCTGTATTCCCTAACCGGCGGTTTCGCTTATTTACCTGCACGCGCTAACGACGGTAGACTTCCTGCACGTAAACACTACAAGGCGCAATCCGGAACTACTATGCATTTGATAATTATTACACGGTCTTATCTAATATTAATCCCAGGGCCGCCGGTTAAGTGTAGGACCTAAAATCTCAGACCACAGTGTAATCCGCGCACGGTGTACACCGCACAAGACTCGAACCTCGAAGGATAGACAATCGAGAAAACAGTTAAGTGGGGTAGGGGCATGGGGGGTGGGGGGCACAGATCTACAGAATTATTACAACTGAAAATGATGGCATCTGCCAATGTGTAGATGCTAGAATCACAAACATTGATGATAAAAGCATTGCAAACTCTTCACACCGTCTAATGGACCCCAATCAAACGAAATTAACAGATCTCTGCAATAACGGTGGCCGTTGTTTATCGAAATACGTTGGCGTTTATTGGCAACAGTAGACTATTATAGGGATGAATCTTAATTTTCACAGCACCAGAGTATCATGCCGGCTCCGGATAAGGTTGTGTAGCGGGTGTTAAGGGGAGAGGAGCGGATGCGACAGCTGGGCTCCCCTTTTTTGGACGCGCATAAACGTCGACAGCATTTTTTTTTTTTTACGAATTTATTAAACGCGTTATATTATATAGCACACACACACACACACACATACGGGCACACATATAATAAATACATATATATAAACTGAGATGATAATGGCGCCCTTCTAGACACTCCCTGTCTAATTTCGAGCGGCATAATATGAAGACCTCGCGAATTCGCACCATGCGCAGTTTTTTTAATGTTATTATTATTATCAGAGTCGACGGATCGTACTTTTGCCCCATACGCCGCCATGATCGATTCGGTTTCAAAAAAACATATTTTCCTCCGTTTTTTCTGCCCCTCTAGACGTGTTATATCGACGCTATCTGCGTTCAGTGCAACTGCTCTTCCATCGATTCTCCAACAACACCTTTAGAGCAAACGGCGCGGCGCTCTTGTCTTCGGCGCGTTCAAGCTTTATCTCTGCGCTTAAAACTCCATACAGTCCATTAAATTCAAGTCGAAAACTTCCCGGTTCGTCGCCGTACATGATTTACTCCATAAATGAATCAAAATACGATTTCCATTTGGCGTATCGGTCGCTGGAAATCAAATATATGATTGCGACGGCACGAAGTGCGTGGTTGGCCGACACTAAT